ACAGTTCCTATTACTTTGCAACCGAGTACAGTAGTACTGATTCTTTGTCCTCTGAGTGCTTGTACAGATTATGACTACCCAGGCAGGCATCAGTAACTCACCTGGTTCCAGTGTTTAACTGTTGTGTTATTCTATTTGGCTAACAAAATCTTTTTGTTCACTAATGAGGTTTAACAGCTTAGCACTTAGCATTGCCAATATGAAACACAACCTTACTGATAACAACATTCTCATCTGAATTTCTCCAAGTCCACGATGCCAGTGGCTTTTAAAAGCCTGGGATTTTAGTACTGTAATAACATTCTTCATTCCTGAATTTTGTGCCCCCTACATTAAATCCAAATTGTTTGAAGTTTTATTTTCTCCTTACTCAACCTCATACTGCAATCTTGGAACACTTAAATTCATAAATAATTGGAAAACAGAACTTGACGATGATCTTCTTCCCACTGAAAATTTTAACTCTCCTCTCTACTTGCAATATACAGCCTGGCCCAGAGTAATCAAATGTGTTTCCCAAAGGCACACTCCAAAAGTAGTGGCATACTCCTTGCCAAAGCAAGACCATCACCTTGTGGTGAAATCCATCTTTTCCCCTACATCTATCTCCCCTATCAACCAAGGATATTATTTAGCAATATGAACTGGTGTTAACTACATAGCAACATGATGAAACATTTACTTGTGGCTGCTACAGTTCTGGTCTTCTCTGCTCTCTCATGAACATCCACAGTGTCCTACCAGAAATAAGGGTGGGATTCTGGCATTACTTTCCTATCCTCTGAAGGCATCCCAGATCATTTGGTGTTGTCTCACACAAGACATGCTTGCCAGCATTTTACATGCTGCTACCACCAGTTCTGTTCAGCTTGCTATGGCAAAGGTAAAAATCCCCACCCCACCGTCCCGTACTAACATTTTTGTACCATCAGGTCATACAGATCTGTTCTGTGGGTGGTTAGGTGAGGCTGGGTAAAATGTCAATGTCTGGGGTAATGTTTCCCCACGTATTCTGATCCTTGAGCAGAGGTGACAAAGTCATGAATGACACTTCTGCAAAATCCTGGTCAAGCACAGTATCTTGCTGAAATTAGGTAGCTTTACTTCTTATTTCAGTGGAAGTGAGACTGAAATCTCTCAGTTTCTAAAAGATGAGTGAACCTGACCCATCAACCAGGAGTTCAAACCCCAAATAGACCTACCTAAAATTAATTAAAATTAAAAAAAGTTGAGATGTCATCTTAGTTGAGATTGATAAACAAATGCTAATACTGTAAAATGTTTTCCCCATTAGTAAATGTGACACTTTACAGGAACTAGAATTATTAACTTTACATTTTTGAGCATTGCTATGGGCCACCTGTCTTTTTCAGGTCTCCACTGTGATGCAAAGCACTGGGGACCTCATGAGCGAAGCAGAAAAAAACTTTAGTTCGTATGTACCTCAATTTGAATATATTATCAGTCTTAAAGCTGCCTTTTATTACCTCAAGAATTGTGTTCTTCTAGGATTATCGCCTTTCTATTTATGCCACTTGATTCTGTGGGATATTTTTCACCATATGAGTCACAAATTTCATTATCACAGCCCTTCACTACAAACTCTTCATTTCACCTAATAGTTCAGTACAAAAAGACAGATTTCTCATCTATACCGTCCATTTAACTTCTATGTATTATTGTCATGCATAGACGCTTCAACTCTGACATTTCATTGGAACTGCAATCTCTTCAGTGATAGAAAAGCTCCACCTGATTTTCCTCATGGTTCATATTGATGTAAAGTCAGAGTCACAGACTGAGGTTGCAATCATTCTTTGCAATTTTTTCCACTTTGTGACTCTTCATCTCACCACTGTGGCAAACCCAGAGGTGCACCACAGCTCTTTATTCCCACCCCTGGAACGGCTGTAATAGTCTGATTTCAACAGAGAGCCTACCAACAATAAACTCAGCTATTTAATAGTTGAATTAGAGCTTCTTGACACCTTTCAGCTATGGACTGATTCAGCCCATCTTCCCACTTCCTTTTTGCTCCTGCTCCCATTATTTCATGCATTGTAGCATCACCAAAATAACTCCACTGAGCAAACTCTATTGAGCTAAAAAAGGCTCTTGCTTCATGGTATGGTGCTTTCATTGACCCCTGCCAAAGGCCAACCACAGGCAGCACATCAGCTGGAGAGACCAGAAACCTCTGTAATAGATTTCATTCAACACTTAATTTTGATGTATAGTACTAATCTTTGCTTTTAATCCACAAACTCCTCATGCTTCTTTGTTTTTCCATCAACACATAGGAAGCACCATGTAACTATACACAGACCTAGAAAAAGTGCTATGGATACAGCTATGTTTCAAATTTTCTACATGACGATCTATGTTAGGGACATTAAAGCCTCATTTGGGCATCTCTTCCTAAAACTACTTAATCCATTTCATCTCTAAATGACAACATGTAACATTGCTAGGCAAGGATGTGGATGATAATGGACAAAATCATGTTACACTGCATATCCTTTATCTTTTCATCTAAATACAGAGTAATGTTTGGTTAATGCTGAGGAATTTGTCAAAATGTATAATCCATATGTCTTCAGTTTAAGTTCCCTGTTGGATCTATTCATAGTTTGTAACAGTGTGAAGAGGCTTTTCCAGAAGAAAAAAATCAAGCCAAAGATCTTCAAAGCAATTCATTAATTGAAATCCACAATAGCAAGATTTTATATTACTAATGTATTTTTCCCTGTGCATTCACACAGTGAAATCAAACACTATCCAAACAAATACCAGATTTCATAATGGTTCCCCCATTATATGCAGATTATTTACATAATTAATTACCACTCAAAAATTCCATCATTTAAAATTTCATAAAGGAGCAAATTAGTGATCCACATCTGAAGCAAGCACAGATCAAGTTAATTGTGTGTGCATGTTACACAGAAAGGATTTTAAGCATTAAGTAAACTACCATTAAATGATTTGGAAAGTAAACAAACCTCAGTGTTCCTTTGTTCACAAATACACATGCCATCTAATCTGCTGCAAATATTGGCATTAGATACAGTCACACTCATAAATATAATAGAATATAGTACTGGTCTTTTAAAATTCTGACAGCCATGCAATGTGTGCAATTTAAGATTAAAACTTTTGTTTTTAAAAGGTCCAGCTTATATAATACAATTAAATTTCCAGTCTGCTTTAATAATCATTAGATGTTATACACACTCAAGACACACTGGCCTTTATTCTACAAATACATGTCTGTATACTGACATGTCCGCAGCCACACAAGAATTCCCAAGCCGAGGTTCAGAGGAGTAGTCACAAAGTCAATCACAAACACTTTTGCCAGATCTAAGTATTAGACTGTCGGCTTCTCTTTGGGTACAGCATCATTGACAGGGTTGAGTACCTTGCACAACCTTCACTAGAGTTTCTCGATATTAAAGCGGTATTTACCAATAATTCAGAAACTCTGTACCAGCAGCGGCACCAATTGGGGACAAGTCCTAAATGGCATAACATGGAAAGCACTGGGAAATAAATGACAGCTGTGATTTTCTGCTGTGCTCTGCCTTAGAGTCCCTCATGATCCTGGCCACAGTAGTCTGAACTGGCTGCCAGAGGTGCAGAAGGGGTATCTGGAAGCTGGATGTAACAGCAAAGTTTATGGTGGTACATGCATGTGAACTCGTGCATTTGTGTGTAAATCGCTCCCCCTCCGTGCACACAGGGAAGAGTGAGGACTGACACAGATGTGTGAACACTTTCCCTTCCTTTTGCAGTATTGCCTATTCTAAGTGCAGTGCTCCTTGTTTGAATGGTGAATCTCAGCACTTGTGGGAACAGAGATTTGGGCCCTGATCGTGTTTGTACTAATCCCCCAAATACGCTGCTCAACAGAGCTGCTGGTGCTCTTAAAGGGTTAAGCAGTTCAGGCCTACCAACAAAGGGGTGAACACGCCTTGTGTGCACTTCCCTAGTCTTGTCCCATCCTCAAGAGGAGCTTCAGCCCTAGATATGGCTTTCCAGACTGCAGAAGTATTCCTGTATGATGCTCAACTTGTACACTGTACGTCTACAGTATTCAAATTGTCTTTTACTGGTAACTTTTACTTCTCATAAATTATTTGTCAAGTAAAACCTGACAAATCCTTCACAGGCAACAGTTATCATCCAAGGACTTAAAAAAAGCTTGACTCTGTCACCACCACTGAAAAACAACAGGGACTTGGGAGTTTATTGGTGAGACTAGATTACATGAACAGCATAAAAAAGCCAATGGGATCCTCTCCAAACTTCCTTTCTAAAAGAAAACCAGGGGAAATCCAATGCTACAGTCAGCGATAAAGCTACTAACCACTGAAATTAAAGGATTAAAACAAAAGTGTGTCTTGGGTACAGATACAAGACAATATTATACTTAACTATAAATCAGTATTTAAATTACATTGACAGTTACCTATTACAGTATATACTCCAAAGATATGACACCATTTTTCAAGCAGCTCTTAAAATTGCATCAGTAGGAACTGCCAAAAGGACCACAGAGAAAAGCATTCTCATTTTAATCCCTCATACACCAAGTCCAGAAAAAAATCAGCAAAAAGCAGAACCTTTTCTCTGAACATCGTAACATCCCGCATTGCTCATCTCCATTCTGAAAGCTGGTTGATTTACAGAAGAAGATCTGCAGACATGAATGTTACACATGTGGTTTTGCAGAGAAGCACAGCACAGTGATTAGTGCGTTAACAAAATTCCTGTACTCCTCCATGAATAATGTTGGAACTTACGTTCCAAGAATAGCACATACTTAATAGCATGGTATTGTCTTCACTTCGTTTTAATGGGAAGCAGAACCTTAGCGAAGAGATAGTGTGTCAGTTCTTGTAATGCTATATACCATTCAGGTGAATGTCCTCTGGTATGATATTTCATATAAAAAATGCAAAGGCTTTCGCCTCAGACACGTAGGTGGATTTTCTTACCTTTGGTTCCATTGAAATGAAGCTGTGGATACCTCTACTTGAGAGAACTGACCTTTTAATTGTTTTACTATGGTAGAAGTGGTAGTAATCCTTCAGTGTTCCAATCTGTAAGGGGAGAGAAGAGAAAAAGAGAGGGAGATTTAATTTATGAAAAGCAGTTTTATGTTTTTCATTTCTAAGTCTATAAATTATGCAGTTTCCTGTGTGCTGAAATGTTACTTGAACCCACCGATCATCTTTCAAAAGAAGGACATATGATATGAAATGGATGGAGTGTCCTTGAGGCAGTAACTGCATAACCAAAGATTATAATTGAGCTGCTTAGTCTGGCTGTATCTACCTTTTTAATGTTTAATTTATATGCAGCACTTTAAGTAATTCTATATCAATCTATATCCAAACTGTCTTCGATTGGCAAGTATAAAAATCATCAAATGGCTATATGGTTATTAAAAAGCATTCCATCTATTTTGCTTAAGGAAATGCATTGTAAAATACGCTAGATTTGGTTATTTATATAATTAAATTATAAAAAGGACATTCACAGCATCAGACTATACAACAGGAACAGGCTTCTCTTTCTGCCAAATATGGGCAAGAAAGAAGCAGAAGAAACATGGAAATGGTAACTTCATAGGATAATGACTAGCTCGAAGTACAAAATCAACTCATGCAAAATTGCAAATATCAAAACAGTACAATAAAATACTTCTTATTCATCCCACCAGTACACAGCAGCATTGTAAATATTAAACTAAGAGAGCCTTCACAATTTGACAAAGAAACCTTCCTTTCCAGAGTAATTAATATCTAAACATTCGTAACTTGAAACTTTAGTTTCACACACCTATAAACAAACATTCAGCCTTCTTGTCTTTAGGAAGAATGTCCTTCCAACTCATTTGGAATTTGACCTTCTATTGCACTGCAATCTTGTAAGACACTTAATAATTCAGTTAAAAGTTCCTTAATGATGAGCGAAAAAGGGACAACTGACCTTACTGTCATTTCAAAGTGAAACTCAAAGTGACCTCAGAAAACAGGCTTGGTTTTACAAATAACCATGAAATCCTCAGAGAGGGTGGAGCAACACTCGAAAACTCTAATCTTAAAAAAAACCCAGTATTGTGAATTTGCATCTATAAGGATACATGTGTAGGAAACTTGAAAGTTTAACAGTAAAGGTTCAAAGAGAACTGGAAATAAGCCATTGAAGAACTCCAAGAATATGCTTTTAGAATATTAGAAAACAAAAATCTTGAGAAAATATCAAAATAGACTAAGAAGATAGAAGACTATTATTCTCAAGGAGCACTTAAAAATTTAAAGATATAAACAGCACATAGGAATGATGGAAAACCTTTTTGGAAGAAAAATATCAACAATTTAAATGAATTCACCTAATGGGGGAAACTGCAACAGGGTCTAAGATACTAATCCCACTCTGTGCAGTTGGTCCATTGATGTCTTCATTTCAGGAAGAACAACTTATGTTTAGTTTAAGTCAAATACTGAAACATTCAGTTAAACCAAGTTAGTTTATCATAAATATAAATAGGAATTGTTTTGATTAAGCCTAATTAAAGCATATTAGCACTGTGATAATAATTTTCATGCTGCCTTCTCATTGAAAGGCAACTCCAGCTGAAGTGGTGCTACTCTAGCATGGATCAGCCTGGTCTCACATCTCCACATGCATGCCTATGAATAAATCCTCTGTAAACATATTTGAGGAAGTCTTCTTGTGGACACGTCAAAGAGCTGCAGGACACTGAGCCTTCTGGGGAGGTCCCTGCTGCCTGGAATTTAGCCAATGTTATTCCAATCTACAAAAAGGGCGAGAGGGAAGACCCAGGAAACTACAGATCTGTTAGGCTAACCTCAGTTCACGGAAAAATTATGGAGAAGATTATACTGGGTATTGCTGAAAGGCATTTAAAGAACAATACAATTCAGGCACAAGTAACATGGGTTCACAAAGAGAAAGTCCTGTTTAACTAATTTGATATCTTTCAATGATAAGATCACAAGTCTAGTGGCTGAAGGGAAGGTGGTGGATTTAGTTTTTCTGGATTTTAGTAAGGCTTTTGATACTATTCCTCACAGCAGCCCTCTGGACACATTGTCCAACTGTGGGATGAGTGAATTCACAATGCGCTGGGTGAAGAACTGGCTGAAGGGCAGAGCTTGAAGTGTTGTAGTGACTGGTGCTGTATCTGGCTGGCGACTGGTCACCAGCAGTGTTCCTCAGGGCCCAATTCCAGGTCCAGTTCTGTTCAATATATTTACCAAGGATCTGGATGTAGGTGGTGAATACACCATTAGCAGGATTGCTGATGATACCAAACTGGGAGGTGCTGTTGACCCTCTTGAGGGACAGGAGGCCTTGCAGAGGGAACTGGATAGATTGGAGCACTGGGCTATGATTAATGGAGGAAATGTAACAAGTTGAAATGCTGGATTCTGCACCTAGGATGGAGTAACACTGGGCACAAGTATAAATTGGGAGAGGAGTGGACCTGGGGGTGCTGGTCAGCAGCAGGCTCAGGGTGAGCCAGAAGCGTGCCCTGGCAGTCAGGAGGGCAACCCACACCCTGGGGGGCATCAAACACAGCATCACCAGCCGGCCAAAAGAGGAGATTATCCCACTGTATTCAGAATTGGTGCAGCCTCACCTCTACTACTGTGCGCAGTTCTGGGCCCCACAATTTAAGAACGATGTTGAGGGGCACCTGATTGCATTCAAAGGAGGGCAACAAAGCTGGTGGAAGGGCTGGGAGGCATGTCCTGTGAGGAGCAGCTGAGGAATCAGGGGTTGTCTGGTTTAGAGAAAAGGAGGCTGAGGAGCGACCTCATTGCTCTCCACAGCTTCCCAAGGAGGGGAAATGGAGAGGGAGGTGCTGAGCTCTTCTCCCTGGGATCCAGTGATAAGATGTGTGGGAACGGTTCAAAGCTGCACCAGGGGAGATTTAGACTGGACATGAAGAAGCATTTCGTTACCAAGAGGGTGGTCAAACACTCAAACAGGCTTCCTAGAGAGGTGGTCAATGCCCCATGGCTGTCAGTGTTTAATGGGCATTTGGATAATGCCCTTAACAACATGCTTTAACTTGGTCAGCTCTGGAGTGCTCAGGCAGTTGGAGTAGATGACTGTTGTAGGCCACTTCCAACTAAGATTTTCTGTTCTATTGCATCACTTTTGACTACATTAACTAGAGTTTATTCTGAGTTTAACAGCCTGCAGCACATTGAGTGTCCCTCAGCATCAGGCTACTGTTGCGCCCTTTTTGAATTATCATTTATATCAACCACTGAAATTTGGTGCCAGGGTTAGCACCAATGCAGGTAATGACATGCTTCCTTGCGACAAAGGGGTGTAATCACTCCCTTCCTGGATGTTTCCTGGAGTCATCAAAAGCCTCAAACACGGTTGAAGTGCTAACTACTGGAAAGTGATGTTACTCTTCCTCCTGAAGTCCTCAGAGACCAGTAAAGTGCATGTTCACCATACAAGAGTACTCTACAAAGTTTACAAACCTTTTACGGACCTTGCTGTCTTCAGGGTGAATTAGAAATCTACTACTCTATGTGTGCATGTGTCTAACCAAGAACACACATTACTGAAAAGACACAGCTCAAGCAGGTAAGTGTATTTTGCCGCTGCACAGAACTGCATAAAGGTCACATTTTAGGGAAAACAAACATCTGTCCTGTTTTGTGCTACACAGATCTCAATATCCCCCAATTCTCTGTGACTTGTCTTGCTCTAGTTTGAGGATTTTTATTTATTTACTTACTACAGATGAACTCTAGCTGACCCCTCTGAGGGCATTAAAAAGAGCAAATTTAGGAGATGACCTAACCGCACTCCTGGAGGTCCTACAGTTTAGCAGCACTACCCACCCACAGAAGAGACTGCAGGGATCTACATGCTCTACCTTTCAGCCAAAGGGGGATAGCCTGAGGCTTTGTAATGCTTGACAGCTGTACTTCCCCTGAGATCTTGGGCTCACGAGGCAGAACTAAGCCCTTAGAATTAAGTGTGGTAATTGCAATGCCGCATCTTCCAGGCACCATCAGCTTTCAGATAATAACAATTATTAATAATAATAATAAATTAAAGTGGTGAGATCTACAGCTTTAGTTCATAAATGTCAACGAAATAAAAGGATTCCAAATATTTTAAATGAAATTTAATTCATATTCACTAACTGCTAGTGCCTCTCACAGTAAGGTAACACCAGTGCTATTAAAAATTATATTGCCCGCTTTTCCCTTAATGGGAATTTACTTAGACCTTCCAAATCCTTGGACCACTTGGAGAACAGTTAAACCATGGAAATATAGCACAATAAAACTTATCATTATGGATATTCTTGTTAAATTGGTTTTTATACTTTTAACTACCAGGTCTTAGAGGCACTCTCAGAGGAAAAGCAATGCAAAGACAGAAACACTAGTCTGCAGAGCTAACTACCTTAGAGACTGATGGCAATTTAACTGTTTTATCCTTGGGAAATCTTTGTAATCTCTTTTTTGACCTGGAGGACCTGATTTCTTTGAAAAGAAATAGAGAAACATTCCTGAGGAATTGCCTGGCCAAAAGCAAGGAGAATGGATGGTGGGGACAGGGGAGACTTACTCTCTTTAGAAGTAATCTTCATCACTGAACATTTTTAATAGGCATATACACATATTGTAATAGTACCATACTGTGTTTATTCAAGGATGAAATAATTCCTGGAAGTAACAATCCTACAATATCACAGTGAAATCCCAGAAAACCAAAGCATCTGCATATTTACATTATTTTTACATTTATTAGTTCTTACTTTCTATTTAAAGCTGAGAAAATGTGTGAATTTTAAAGATAATATGAAACAAGAGCCAAACTTTCTAGGCTTGTCCTTGGAAAATATCTCTTCCATATGTAGTTTTATAGTCTAAGGCAATATTAAGATAATTTAGGACATAATTACTGAATGAATTAATCTACATCTGCAAACTGACATATCCAACTAAGCTCTGAAACGACAACTGAAACTTCCATGTAGCAGAACATAAGTCATTCAAGCTAATGGGAAGGAACCCAAGAGATGCCTTAC